TCCCAGAATTCCTGAGCAAGCCATGCTTGCTCAGGAATTCTGGGAGTTGAAGTCCATAATTCATAAAAGGGCCATAGTTGCCCACCCCTGCCTTAACCGCTACCCCAAAGTGGTTCTCCAAACTGAAGTTGGCCCACTACTCAACCTAATGACAGCGTTTTTCTCTTTCCTTGCTCTCCCTTCCAGCCAAGATATGATGAATTACATCTATCTTTCCAATTTCCCGCGTAACTCTCCCATCAAGGATTTCGTCCTCTCCTTTACGGGGTCTTTTGCCATTATGACAGACCGGGAGGAGGTAAGGCCTTTCTATTCCTCATGAATCCAGGGGATAGGAAGGCTGCGGGAAGCGGATCATCCCTGGCCATTCACCCCACTTTCTGTTTTCCTCTTCAGAGGTAGTCCTTGACTTACGATGGTTCATTTAGTGACCGTTCAAAGTTACAACGGCACTGAAAAGATTGGACAACCATTTGTCTGAAATGGTATAGGGTTTCCTGCCTAAGCTGGGGGTTGGACTGAAAGACCTCAATGGTCCCTTCTAACTCTGTTCTTCTATTCTATTCTATTCTATTCTATTCTATTCTTATTCTTATTCTTATTCTTATTCTTATTCTGTCTTGTTCTATTTTATATACTATTCTGTACCAGGGGTTGCCAATCTTTTGGACCTCAGGGACCACCAAACTCATAATTTTAGATCCCAGGGACCACTACCTGGTTCTGTGGGTGTGGCCTAACTTGTGGGTGTGGCTTGGTGGTCATGTGACTGGCTGAGCATGGCTTGTATGTAAATATTATAAATATTTATATATTGAATTGTTTATAAAAAAGAGCAACTTTTACCCAAAATCAGGCAAAGCAGGCAGATTGAGTTGCTCACAAAATCACAGATTCATTCAGAGATCTAACTATCTGCCATTGGCTAGTCAGTCTGTCACATAAAATTTGCTAGCAAGCAAACTCACAAAATTAACTCACAACACACCATGCATGTAAATATTGAATTTTTTATTCTAAAAAAGAGCAACTTTTACCCAAAATCAGGCAAAGCAGGCAGATTGAGTTGCTCACAGAATCATTCAGTGATCTATCTATCTGCCATTGGCTAGCTCAGTCTCTCAAATTTGCTTGCCGTGAGTCTGCACTGAATTTGCTTGCAAGCAAACCTTCAGTCCTAAGGGAGGTTTGGCTGCGCTTAGCTAGAAAGCAAGAAATCCAAACTTTTCCTGCTTCCTAGCTAATCTAAATCTTCTGGCATAGCAGAACAGATGATGGTTGGAAAAAGGAAAAATAGCAATTTAGCAGGCAAGTTTACTGGGTAAGGAGTGAGTGGGCGGGGAGGGTTCCCGCGGGCCATGTGGGCGGCACAGCCTTGTGTTTCTGCACTGCCTGGATTAATTGCTTTGTGGGGATGCTCTGGGGGTGAGATTTCTCTGCAGCCCACCAGTTGGCGACCGCTGTTCTATACTATTCTATTATTCTGTTCTTTTCTGTTCTGTTCCATTTTCTATTCCGTTTTCTACTCTATTTTCTATTCTCTCTTGTTTTATTCCTATCTTATCCTGTTCTACAGATATTTGTATGCAAAGTAGCTGTGCACAAAAACTCCCTCCTCACCCCCTTTTCTTCTTATCGTAGCTCTGGGTGTCGAGCGAAAGCGGCATTGAATTTAAAAAGGTTTATCCGTCGGATGCCTGGCATAAGTTGCGTGCTCTCGAAAGGATGGGAGGGTCCACAACATATTCCAAATCAAGCACTCATGCCATCGTCAGCATATTCTACAGCCCGGAGGGCTTGCAGGAGGTGAGTGAGATGGGCCAGAGATGGGCCACATGGGACCTCCGTGGAAGTTTCACGGAAGCCAAGGCGTCTCGCAAGGTCCTTATGGCTTTGCTTAACAATTTCTTGATTGATTTGGCTTCTATTGCCCATCTCACAGGTGTGACACTGGGCAGCTTGCTACTCTCCCGTTTATTATCACAGGTAGTCCTCGGCTTACAACCATAACGAAGCCCCAAATTTCTGTCAGGAAGCAAGAGTTCTGTGCCACTTTACGATCTTTCTTGCCACAGTGGTTAGTAGCCCAGTTCTTAAGTGAACCTGGTGTTCCTCATTGACCTGGCTTTGTCAGAGGATTGCAATACGTGACCCGCAACTGTCATATTATGAGTCAGTTGCCAAACATCTGAATTTTGATCACATGATGTGGCAAACGCTGTAACTCTGAAAAAAAATGGTCCCAATCCGTTTTTCCCAGTGCCGTCGTAACTTTGAACGGTCACTGAGAGGAACCATTGTAAGTCAGGGACTCCCTGCATTCTTAACAACCAAAAGCATAATGTGTCAACTCATAAAATGGGGGTGGGGGGAGGAAGGAAATCCGGAAGAGCCGTGCAGCAGGTTGCAAGCAGAAGTACATTCCAACTCTTATTTTTAAAAGACTGTAACTAAACTACCAGAGTTTTTGCCCGCCGATATATTTAATTGGAGAATGTGAATGATGACACCTAGCCTATGAAGGTGCTCAATTGGAGAATCTGATTTATGACACACCCGGGGGGGGGGGGGCAATGGGGTCACTGCCATAAATGCCGTAGGCCAGAGTTGGCTTCATACAGGGCAGTGCCAGTATATCGTCTCTAATAAATCCTTCGAAGTTTTTTGAAGTTTGGTTCGAGAATCATGATTTAATTAGGGCGATTGCTGGAATCCTGACATAATGAGTGAAAATAAAGAATTGAAATCAGAAGGTCCAGATTCCCAGCGTAAAAAGTCCTCCAGACTTTTTTGTTGTTGTTCCCTGCCATGAGAGAAATACAAGAAGTCCTCGACTGTTGGCCACAGTTAGGATAACAATTTCTGTTGCTAAGCAAGGTGGTCGTTAAGCGAGCCACGCCTGATTTCACAGTATCCTTTGCCATGGTTGTTAAACAGATCACTGAGTTGTTTAATAAATCGCAAGGTTGGTGAGAGAATCTGGCTTCCCTGCCCCCCCCCCCCCCGACTTTACATCTCACACATTGGCTGGAAAAGTCACAAAAGGCGATCGTGTGGACCCTGAGACGTAAATACATGCGGCGGCCAAGCACCTGAATTTTGATCACATTTTCAACCCTGAACCCAATTTGAGGCTTCAGTGTTGCCACACCGGAGCTGAGGGATAAGCAGGGGGGAATAGAGGTAGCTGGGGTTTTGTAGCCAAAACAAAATACTTTCTCCTGGGAACCAAGGACATTCCCACAGGTGGTCGGAGAGAGGAGGAGCGATGTTACCAGGCAACAGGACAGCACCTTGATTGGACCATGTGTCTGATTGTTTTGAGAAAGTGAAAAAACTTTTAAATTGGGCAAAAACCGTGGGAACCTTCAGAGTCGGTTTATCATCAGAACTGTGCCAATATGACATATCCAATAAGCCCATTCTTTGAGGGATCTACTCGGGGGTGGGATTCTACCGGTTTGGATCGGTTCTGGCAAACCGGTAGTTCCGGTGATCGTTTGTCCCCACCCCTGCTCTTTCCTGTCCTTTATTTCCTTGTTTTGGAGTGCAGCTGATGCGTGTGGCAGAGCGGTTTTGCCATGCCTCAGCCGTTTAACTCACCGGGGCTGCAGTAGAAGGTAAGTATTATAGCTGAAAACGGGCTTGTTTTAAAATGGTGTGCACGCGCACGATCCCCGAACCGGTTGTTACACCGGTTGAATCGCACCACTGGATCTACCGCCCTCCGAGTTTTGTCTCCTATGGGTGTATTACTTGGGACCCAGGCACTTGTGACCTTGGGGAATGCTGTGATGGCCCTTAATTGCCAGGACCGGTCCTAAGTCCCTTTCTGCAGTCCTGTTGTAATTTAGAATAGTTGCTGGACAAAAAAAAAAGGCTCGTAAGCCAAGGACAGCTTGTAATGGCAGAAGTGAGGTGAAGATTGCGATGTTGCCTTTGCGTCGGTTATTGTTAAATCCCAGGTCTGTTTGGCTTGGCTTTTTCCTTTATTTTGCAGCTGATTTATTTGAGAGAATATGGCAGAGGAAGATTCCTGAAGAGGGATTTCCCTCAAGACACTGTCCTGACATATGATCTCTTGCTCAGCGCCCCTCACAAAAAGATGACGATCAAGTGAGTGGAAGGCTCTGCATTTTGCCAACAACCACCAGGGCGCCAAATCTTGCCGATGGAAGGGAGGAGAAAGGCTCCCTTCCATCCTGCCCTTACTATCCTTTGTTTGACCACTTCTGGGCCTCCTCCTTCCATTTGCCCTTCTCGACAAGTACAGTTACATGTTAGATTTTGTGCTTTCATGCCTTAGGCAGCGCTAGAGCTCACTTCCACCTGGGGATTGGCCTAAAATCACCCAAGGAACTCCTTTAAGGCTTGGTTCTCATCCTTTTGTGGCTTCCCGGTCACTCTAGACTAGCTGTGCACTTGATCCTTCCAGCTCCTCCTCCTCCTCCTCCTCCTCCTCCTCCTCCTCCTCGCCAGTCGCAGGGCTTCCCTGCAGCCGCATTTCCATTAGAAAAAGGCCTGCAAAACGGGGGACAATGTGTTCTCTGTTCCCAGCGGGAAAGACTACATCCGATTCACCCATCTTTGCCCCTTCGCTAACTTGCGTATGGTGGATCTGCCACGCCCGCAGCGCTATACCCGAGAGGAGTATTACTGGGCCACCCCTCCAGACATCATGGAGAAATCCGGATTCCATCACAAGGACTCGCTCACCATCTACCAGGGCCTGGTCTACCAGTTGCTTCAGCTGCATTCAGCGTATCACAGAGTGAGGACCAGTATTGGTTTTCTGGACACAACAAAGGGGCAGCCCGTGGCTGGAAAAATCCGTGGTGTGGGATTCAAATTTTTTTACTACCATTTCTGTGGGCATGGCGTGGTGGGCGTGGCTTGGTGGGTGTGGCAGGGGAAGGATACTGCAAAGTCCCCCTTGCCTCCCCACCCCACTGACCTGCTTTCCAGCACCGTTCTCTTGTGCAGGGCAACAAAAGGAGACCCAGCCAATCAGCTGGGACTCGGGAGGCGGAGCATAGATGGGGGAGGGGCCAGTCAGAGGTGGGATTTGCTGGTTCTCCAAACCACTCAGAATTTCCACTACCGGTTCTCCCGAACTGGTCCGAACTGGCTGAATACCACCTCTGCATGGCCTACAGCAATGGTGGCTAACCTTTTTGCGCATGCATGTGCACCATAACCCCTGCGCATGCGTGCGCAATCCCCCCTGCGGCCCGCTTACCTGCACTGCGTATGCGTGCGCCTCCCAGCTGATTTTCGGCCTGTTTGAGGCTGTTTTTTGGGCTCCCGGAGTCTCGTGGGAAACCTCTGCAGCCTTAGGAGGTGGAAAACCGGCCCATTTCGGCACTTTCGGTATTTCCAGAAGGCCCATTTTTTGGTCTCTCAAGGCTGCAGAGGTTTCCTTTGAGCCTCTGGGAGTGCGAAAACAGCTTCAAACGGGCTGAAAACCAGCTAGGAGGCACGCTCATGTGCAGTGCAGGTAAGTTTCTCTGGGGCTCGCGCGCCCGCAGAAATGGCTCTGCGTGCCATAGCATAGGTTCACCATCACGGCTATATAGTGAGAACAGTTTAGGTGATTCATTGGAGGTTCATTGACTCCTGTAATCTTGTCTCCTCAGCCTTATGCCGACCCCGTCCACGACCCCACTTGGCGCTGGTGGAAAAACCAGAAAGAAGAGGCCGTAAGGAGAAAAAAACACCACCACCAACCCTGAGCATCACTTCTCAGCCTTTGCACTGCTTAATCCTCTTTCCAAGCCTGGCAGAATTATGGGAAAACAGTCAAACGTGCCACAAAAGTGCAGTTGTTGTGGGTTGGGTTGCGTGAGAGGCTGCTAAATTCACCCCTTCTCATAAAATACGGGTAGTGACCGCAACACTACAGAAAGTCAACATGAACCATAAAATCAACCCTTCTGGAATTCACTTGGTCTCTCCCTCCCTCTCCCTTTTTCCTTCCTCTCCAGGAATATTTTACCTACAAGGCAAGCAACTGGAAATCGTTGGGAGGTATCTACGTCGAAATGGCCAACTATGCCAAAGTTTATAATGTGATGCCAGATAACAATCTACCCGAATACATCTATCTGGACAAGAATACAGCCTACTCTTTTAATGTGATCCTGACCACCAGATCAACCAGAGAGAGCAGTGAGGAATGGCTGATTAGAGGACCTCCTTCCTTCCTTCCTTCCTTCCTTCCTTCCTTCCTTCCTTCCTTCCTTCCTTCCTTCCTTCCTTCCTTCCTTCCTTCCTTCCTTTCTTCCTTCCTTCCTTCCTTCCTTCCTTCCTTCCTTCCTTCCTTCCTTCCCTCTCTCCCTCC